TTTTATTTTCAGTTATTTAATTTGTCCAATTACTTTCCAGCAGAATCCATTAATTTACTTTGAAATGAAGGGATTGTGTTAAAAAATCGCGCTTTAGTTCTTCATAGTTTTATGCAATTTTTTTGTTCAACCCTGAAGTGTACAGTGAGCTACCAAACCACTTATAGAGGTGTTCTCAGGAGATGAATACACAACTTTATTACACACTCAGTGCAAAACTTGAAATTATAACAGTGGGAGTGAAAAATAAAGTTTATTTCTGACTCTCCTCCTGCGTCCGCTCAGTGTTTCCGATACCGGGAGCATTCAGGAGAGTCTTCTGGTCACCGTGAATTCCAGCGGTTGGATGTACACGAGTGGACGCCAGCGGCTGACCTACACCTGCTGTCTGGATCTCATGATGTTTCCTTTTGATACGCAATCCTGCAACATCACATTTTCAACAATGAGCTCGAATGGTAAATATTGTAAATTGAGTCCGATTACCTCCAGAGCAATTGATGTAACAATTTCTTCCTTTTGTTATTGTCTCCATAGAGAAAACAATAAAATTAGGAACATTCAACAGTGACAACGTGCTGAATAAAGTCTCAGCAGAGGCCATGGTTACAATGGGAGAGTGGGAACTCAAAAGCTTGATAACTTTTAATGGATCGAGAGCCAGAAACAGACTTAGATACACGGTAAGAAAATATTTTTGTGATTTTTTTTTTTTTGTTTTCTCATGTCCAGGTCTGATGAATCTGCCTGTTTTACAGGTCACAATGGAGAGGAAGCCAATGCTGTACGTCATAAATCTTATCGTGCCGCTTTTCTTTTTCCTCATCCTGGATTTGGCTTCATTCTTCATTAGTGAGGCCAGAGGTGAAAAGCTGAGCTTCAAAGTGACGATACTCCTGTCCATCTCCGTCTTACTGCTAATTCTTCAGGACATGTTGCCCTCCACAGAAAAGAGCCTGCCGATGATCGGTGAGCAGCCTCGTAGATCTAAGATCGAGATTTTAATGAGTAACAGTGCACCGACAAGCTATTTCTCTGCACCTTCTAGCTGCATACTGTGCTGGAGTTTTCGCCCTGGTGGGGATTAGTGTCCTGGAGGCCATGCTGGTGACCTTCTTAATCGATCTCGATTGTTATTGTGGTAAGAAGGCCCATGAGGCCCACGAGGATATTCAGCTGCAAACGGGCGATGTCACAGGTATGTGTTTGTAGATTTTCTTTGCAAAGAAACTAACACAGAGATCAATAAGGAGGAGAAACACTTCTTGTAGCTGCTTTGCTGTCTTTCTCTAGTTTTATTTTAGAAACTGGTCTTCATTTCTCCTGGGGTTTTATTTCCTGCCCCATTTTTCCAAAATCTGATTCCTTGATTATCCCTATCTGCTCTGTATTAACAAGCTTCACTCTTCACCTGTCGCCTGTCAGTTTGTCTCTTTTCCTTCTGTTTGTTATCTCTGTTTTGTTTTTGTTTTTTGTGCATCACTGGAGTATGGTGGTGTTCCCATCTTCTCAGTGGACTTTAGTTTATTATACTGCATAATAGGGCTGCCAC